AGATTTAGATTTTTTGTATTTTGTCAAGGCGTTATTTCTCTCCTTAATTAACAATTTTGTATTACATGACAACCACGGAGCACATGGCTTCGTCACTCGCCTAGACAAAAGAGGCGCATGCATATTAAATAGGTCAATAATTTTATTTGACAGAAAGTTTACTTTTTCGTCGATGTTTTTCATGTAGTAAATAGAATTCCAGTTAACAGCATGTAAATCATTCAAAAAGCTTGCCCTAGAGAAATACTTAAAGTCTCTAAACACAATTTCACGCGGTAAAGTTTTAGGTAAATTCAAATCCAAAGAACAATAAAGTAAACTGTGGTCTGAAATGTCATCTGCAGGAGTAACGCCAGAAGATGTTACCATATCTGAAAGTACCGAGCTTAAACAAATAACATCGATACAAGATTGCGAACAGACTGTAGTACGTGTAGGTTCTTTAATAAGAGAAATCATGTCAAAAGGCGATATGCAGTCCAGAAAACTGCTATCTGTTAGCTGATTTATATTTATATCTCCGGTAAAACATATATGGTCATATTGCGGTATAACAAATGACATAATATTATCTACATGCTCCACAAAATGTGGGATACTACCAGAGGGTGCTCTATATAAAACACAAAATAAAATTTTAAAATTATGAACTGTAACTTCAAGAAAGAGCTGATCCACTCCCTCCATTTCCTCTAGATCAGAAAACACAACCTTACAAGAAATATCCTCATGGATATACATTCCAACTCCTCCTCCACGACCTTATCTTTATGAAAAAACAAATAATTTGGAAGATGTATCATATCGGTTGCGTAATTTGATGCAATCCATGTCTCAGAAATACACATTACGTCAAAACGCTCAGAGGCCATTAAATCTGTGAAATTGTTAAAATTTGTGAAAATTGATCTTACATTTAAATGTCCTACTTTAAATCTGTAGCAACTATTGTCAGTCATAATTAATATTTGCTTTAAAATAATTTAGTCTCGATATATAAAAGCTACAAGACCTATTTCCAGCATCGTGTTCGGTAGACCAACTTGTATTGAATTTAGTGTTGTGAAATTCACAGTTAGGACAACATTTGACATCTGCCCTGCCAAGATGTGTTAGGTACTAGTGATATTATTTTGAGGAAAATTGCTACTTGATAAGCGTTTCTTTGAAAAACTTCTTGTCCTATTTCACAGAGCTGGTAGTGTGGTTTATAAAAAAAACCTATTAGGCAGAAACCTGTCGTTGGAAGTGAATAAAATAAATTTGCCGTAATTGGCTATTTTATAGAAAATCCATATATCTACAAGTCATCGTAAAATAATTCAAAGAACTACTTCTTCGTTTTTCTTGGTAGAATAATATACACATATTTAATAAATATTATTTATTAAACTATTGTAGGTAAATTAAATAAAAGTAAACTGGTATAAATTTAAATAAGTCCATAAACTAATTTCGATTTGGAAAATAGCTACTAACTGTCACTAGAATCTTGCCATGACAACACTAGCCATCTTGATTACAATTTTATTGAAAAATCGCTTATTATTCAAAATCTGAGCCAGATAGGTATAGGAAACCCTAATATAGTTTGAAAGAGCATTTAAATCTGCTTGGACTTATTTAAAAAAATACATAGTGTTGCATTTGAAATAACGAAGTTTTTATGTAAAATAAATATTTAAGATAGACCAGCAATTTTTGATACCCCTGTATACATTTAAGGAAGGAATAACATTTTTCTGTAAAGTTTATTTCTCTACCTTTAAACTCAGCACAAGAACTAATTCTGAAAAGTAATGTACAGGGTGTTAATAATCTATTCTATTGTAGCATGCAAATTTAAATATCTCAAAAACCAAAGATTTTAAACATATTTAACCCTTATAATAAATACCTTTTTTGGGCACCAGAATCCAAAAATGAAATAAAATACCGGGTGTTCCATAAGAAAAAAGATAACTTTGGTATGGATCTTAGTTATGAAACACCCTGTACATTTCAAAATAATTTTAAATTGTGCACATTACCTCCCCACATATACCCGTAAAATATTTTGTTTCTATATCTTTCCGTTTTCGTATAATCAACCGAGGCGAATGAGGTGCGCCACTGTATATATTTTTTTTTATTTATTTATTAATATCTCTGAAATTACCGAAATATATTTACTCATATCTTAGGATTGTATAAAATGATCTGAAAGAAAGCCAAAAATGCAATAATCTACAGGGTGTTCCGTTTAAAAAAATAATCTCAATTCACCCACACCTTTTTGAGCCACCTACAGGAGTTAAAATATTTTCCTGAGATCAGATCCAGATCCACAGATCCCCGACGCACTATTGCCGAAAACTGTATAAGTATACGTCTACAATAAACTTCAAAATTAACAATTACTACTACTAAAAAATCAGGATGGTTATGAGATCCTGATTTTTTGTTTGTTTTTAATTTTTACTTATGTTATGTTTACCTATTAAAATCAAAGAAGGGAATTGGTCTCCGTTGGATCAACGCAGTGGTTTTTAAAAAAAATAACTGTAGATTTTCTTCTAGTGGCGAAATACCCAGGCGAGATACCCACAAATGTTTTTTGAAGAAAAAATCCACCACAAAGACGTACCTACATATTATTTAGTAGAAAGTATGTTTACTTATATTTATATTTGTTTGTATCAAAACAAATAGGTCTACCGATTGTTGATCTTAATTGTTGCAAAGACATTATTTTGAAATTCTTGAGATTTGAAATATACAAATAATATCAATCATACATAGGTATGTGTCGTCTTCATTCTTTGAAAAACTGTAGTGGTGAGAGAGACCGGTCTTGCACAAAAAGAAAAACATTTTTAAGAGACTCTTTCAAAACATTTTAAAGTTAAACGTTGTTCAAATAGTGTTTTCTTGACTATTGCATAAAATTTTAAGGAAAGAAGTGCTTAGGTAGTCAATATGATATACTTATTAAAAATTAAAATTGTTTGCTTTTTGTGCAAGACCTGTCTTGCCCATCACTAAAAAACAGGTATTTTCATCACTAAAAGAGATATCTATACAAAATATAAAATTTATTTTTGTATAAACACAACAGCGTTGAATCTCAACGGAAACCATAGTTGATGTCAGTGACTTCTTACTACTAAAAGAAAAAAAAACAAACCAGACAAAACATTTATAAACAGACGTATATCAGCTAAAAAATTAGGTTTTCTTGAATAGTTGTATTTAGACATTTCAAAAATAGTTTTTCTTTTTTTTCCTTTCTTACGTTTTTCTTTGCCCTTGCAGTGGCAAAAAGAACTTTCTTCGACAATTCTAATACATGTATTTTATTACGTTGCTTTGCTAATATCTTTGCTTTTATCGTTTATCAAAGCGCCAACATAACCACGGACTTTCTTATAGTTTAGTATAGTTATTTATCAAGCACATTTCAATGAAGACTTTTAAGAAGCACATCAAAGTTAAAACGTACACAGTTGATATTGCATGCAGCACAATCCCATTCATTTATTATCACATAAGATTGTGCTAATTCTTCAACATCACAAAAGAGAAAAATTCTCGGAAAAATTTTATAACAAAAGGTGTATCGAAGACAAAAATATTATGAAAATTTAAATTTTATATTGAATAACTAAAACTGCTTTTAGGAACCACAAATTAGCCAAAACAACTTTTGACAAGCACTTGATGAAATTACTTTAGAATCTCAAGAAATTAACAACAATTAAATAATTTTACTCAGCGGAAACTTGGTAGCGTATCTATTGAAAACTTTGACAGGTAATTTAGTCCAGTACCTAACTTATTTATGAGGAAGTAAATTATACAAATTACTAAAAAAGTTATTACAACAGCAATATAAAACACTAAATCACCACAATACTATTAAAACTTAGTTTTAATCATCTGCTGATGATTAAAATGATAGTTTAATAATGATTTTTTTATTCATGGTTAGTGATGACATGGTCTCTGTATCAAAATGTTTTTTTTTTCTTAGAATAATGTAAAATGCTACTGCATTATAGAATCCAAACGGTAGCGAGCTTATGAGCTGGTTTTAACAAGTAATTTGCCTATCCAACAAAACCCTTAACGTTTTAGGAGATAAATATAAATCACTTCCTGTCATCAGAGACAAAAACAGAAAAAATTATATCCAATAAAGAAAAAAAAAACATTTGAAATGCCTAATCTAACTACTTCGACATTTTAGTTTCCTTAGCACAGACAGAACTGTAAATTGAAAAATGATGAAGGGAGAAAATATACCTAAGTATCCTCTGAAAAAATCAGCGTTATTGTTGGCTATGCCATTCCGTTTTTTTTTTCAAAAAACTTCTCTTTTAGAATCTAAGCAGCGGCTTTTTGCAAAAAAAAGTTTTTTACTTCTTACATTTCTGTTTCGAGTGGCGAAATACCTAGCCATTTATACACAATAACCATAAAGGGATGTAAATACAGACATTATCATTACCCGAACTATCATTTTAGATATATTTCATGTTTTTATGCGATGATTTTATATTTTCTCTACGACCGCAAGAATTTTTGGTCCACGGTGTAAATTTCCGATAATCCAGAGCACAGCCTCGGCAAACTTAGCGCACCGGCACCTACGCGTCGCCACAGTCATCCCGGACTCCCGCCACTTCTCCACGCTGCTCTTCCCCAAAACAAAACGTTCCCTGCACTCCACCTTCATCCCTTAAACGCTTCCCGGTTTCACCTCCAGTCGGCGCCACGAACTTCATCCCGTTCCCCGCAACGCCCTCTACCTCCCTCGCCCACCGCCTAGCTCCGCCCCTTTGACCGATAGCGCGACACGATTGGTCGTGCGGATGACTCAGCGCGGCCTGCGATTGGGAGCGGGCGCCAGGGGACGCACCGAGGGACAGTTAAAGGTGTGCTGCGGCGGGCCAGAGCTTTGGAACCGTGGCTCCTCCCTAGGGATAAGCTCGGTACGTTCGGTAAGCTCGGGTTTGCAGTTGCGATTCGGCCTTCTCTCGCGAGGGTTTCAAAATCGTCGGCCAGTGTCTATCGGGACGTATGACATCGGTGCGGTCGCTGACTCGCGGGACACTACTAGCAGGCTTGGAAAAATCGTCGCGGGTGTTTTCCATTTTCCTGAAGGCAGGTTCGGGAACAACGAGGAACTTTTCAAGATCGGAGTTCGACTTTGGTGGTTAATTTACTCCCACGTCTTATTCGCTGCTTGATTAATTTTTGTGCGCGCTCTGTCGTCTTGTTGGGCTAGGTAAGTTACATATCCGACTGGAGTGACATGATTGATATTGATAACTTTGATGTAACTTAGTTTGAAAAATTCTGAGATTGTATATTTTATAGTCTCTATACTATATTTTTACTTTCATTTATATATTTTAATTTCTTGCTTATTTTTTTTATTAGTTCTAGTTAGCTTTGTTGAGAGCTACTTTTTTTATTAGTATAATGGTTGTTACCAAGAGTTGATATTTATTTTTTTAATATTTCACCTCTTAATATTTTTCAATTTTTTTTTCACAATGTACCTAATACATTTTTTAGTTAAAACAAAACGATTTTAAGTTTAATTTAGATATGGTAAAAAATTATAATTTTAATTTTTATACTTGTAGATGTTGCGAATTTTCGATAATAAAAATAATATATACCTAAAAAAATATATAATAAGACAATAATAATTAATATAAATATAATAATATAAATATTAATATAAGAAAAAATAATAAAATAAATAAGAAAATCATTTTTGTATATTATAAAAATAATGAATAAAAAATAAAAACTATACTTAATAATAATAAGATAATCAATATTTATTTGTAAAGAGATTATTAATCGATCAAAGAACTAATTTATATTAAAGAAAAAGATAATAAATATGCTTATTAATTGAAAATAATTTATTATTATTATTATCTAGATATGATAATTTTTCTTCTAGGTATGATACCCTAACTATTACATAGATAGTATATTTAAATTAAAATAGATAAAAAGATAGAAAATATTATATAAATTGTATTTAAGTCTGATGCGTTGCACTGAATGGTTTTCAAATATTTTAGAAAATTTATTATTTAGATACTTAACGGAAAAAGAAAATAAAACATACTCTTTTAAGGCAATGCCCAAACAATGTATTTATTATTATATTTATTAAATATTTTTATAATAATTAAATTAAAGCTAATTATATTTACTTATATTTTGTTTTAATATTTTCAATAAATAATTAAATAATTTATAAATAACTTATTTTAGTAGGTACCTATATATTTCTTAATATTTTCAAACGTCATGCTCTCTTGCATTTATTTTTATTCTATTAATTAATTAAATGAAATTTAATTTTCTTATGATGTACCAAATCAGTAATAATCAAACCTAGTAACCTTTTTGTTTAATATTCTGTGTTAAATCTTCTTTATTCCTCTTACTTATACAGGATGTCCCAGAAATAAGTGCAAGTATTTTAAGGGGTGGCAGATCTCGATAAAAGAAACATTTTTCCTTTACCGTTTTTCAAATAAGTCCAAAATAACGGAGTTATTTTACTTTGAAAATTTCAACAAAAAAATGATTTTTTGCTCAAATTTTAAGAACACTGGATCTTTTCTGGATGGATTTTCTTTCTTGTAAATTTAATATACTACCTATGTTGCCATATTATCAAGCAATTATGTTTTTTAACTAAAAACTAAAAAAAAAATCGAATTTTCAATTTTTTTTTGGCGGAAAAAACGCATAGGCTTGTTTCTGGGGTTGAACTATACTACCAGTTAAAATACTAGCACTTATTTCTGGGACACCTTGTATAATTAGACTAGATAAGGATGAAACATATTTTCTTTTAAATTAAATTATTTTTGCAGGCTAATTTTTTAACGTTAATCAAGGGAATATTTTAATACAAATACTATATATTAATATATTCTATATACAGGGTGTTCCTTAATGACATGCTTATAATTAAGGGGGTGATTGTTGGGTATACTCTAAGAAAAAAATTTTGTGAGAAAAATTTTGTGTGTAAATTTTCTAAAAAATAACTTTTTTTGTAACAACTCGGATGTTATAGATATCTTTATGAAATTGGATACACGGTCTTCTGTCCATTAAAAGGCATATTTTGATATACGACAAAAAATTTTGTGTCTTTTAGTTTCTATCCAGCCGACAGAGAAACAATTTCCACGCAACAGTCACCGCATAAGATTTTTAGCGATTTGACCATGAAGTAAAACAATTTTACATTTTTAAAGCAAAAACTATGCTTGGGACGAAAAAAATCAAAAGATAAAAATTGCTTAGAAATGAATAAATATTTTTAAAGTAATGTTTATTATGTTATGTTTATTTAAAGAAGTCAGTAGCGTACCATTTCTTTCTTGAAGAATATTCAATGTAAAAGTCATTGAACGCCACTGGTTGAAATAAATAAAATTGTTTCTACATAAAAAAACATTTGGATGCAAAGAAGACGTGTATCGAGTTTCATTAAGCTATCTATAATGACATCATATTTATTGTGAAACAAACAGTTCTTTTTTTAAAGATTTGATCACCCTTAACAGTATCTTATAAGTTAAGATGTTTAGGTCATACATTCATATGAGGTTTTTTTCTTAGAATAATTCCAAAAATCACCCCCTTAAATATTAACATGTCATTAAGGAACACCCTGTATACTTCATTTGATCTTTAGTTATTTAAACCCTATACTTAGTATATATTTATTAAAGAAGAGCTTGTTTCGTATGAGTTGATATAATTTCCTGGGTTGATATGATTGCTAGATTTTTTACAAGCTAAATACAGATCACTCACGGTTGTTAAGTATAAAAAATTTACTCGACTATAATACCTATTATAGTCGTGACTAGTTTGTTTTCATTGTTAACTTAGTACTTAGTAGTACCAACTCAACATAACCTAACTTAGTTTACACGTTTCCAGTAGCTGTTGTTGCAGAAATGGCTTTTGTTGTCTACAGTAGTTCAGTCAGTCATTGAGTCTTCATTTGGTAATAATATTATTTTTCTCAATTTTTCATTTATGTATCATCAATACTATATAAAGTTTCATGTCCATTCTTTGTTGCTTTTTTTTGCTTTTATATGTGTCTTTTCTGATATTTGATTTCTGTAAAACTGAACAACCGTAGATTGAAATATAGGTAAATATATTTTTAATTGAAATTTTTAAAATTGGACATATTCAGAATGTCATTTTCTATTAGCAACTGCAGTATAAAAATACCGAGGATGTCATTAAAAAATCAATAATTATCTAACCAATAATTTTCGGTAAAACAGGAAGTGACCGACAATAATTGAACACGCCCAATCAATCCCGATTTATGTCATATACCTACTAACATACCAATTTTTGTTTTTTTTTATCTAAAAAAATATAAAAGTTATAGTGGCGAGCCACCTTTGGAAAGAATCCGAAAAACAGCAGCAATGATTTTAGCGATTATTAATAGTTTCTTGTGCGTAGTGAACTTTGTTAAACTTTATTACAATGGTGATTTGTTCAGCTCTCAAATGTAAAAGTCGCAACGATAAGAACGGGACCAGGAATTACGTTTTATAGATAAATAAACAGTTAATTTTCAGCACTCCACCTAAGCGTTTTCTTATTAATATTCATAATTAATATTTCTGATATTTTACTATACCGGGTGCAAAAGTGGCTCTCCCCTCTAACTTTTTTATTTTTTCAGACAAAAACAACGAGATTTGGTAAATTAGTATATGACATAAATTAGGATTGATTGATATATTCAATTGTTTTCAGTCACTTCCGGTTTCACCGGCAATAACTACAACTTTTGATTTTTAAAAGGCTCCCTCGGTATATTTTTACTTTATTCGATAGAAAATGACTTTCTAAATAGAATGACATATTGTATGTCAACTTTTGACATTTTAGCATATGGTTTATTTGTAACATGCCGTTCATAACGACAATTTGACTCGAAATACCAAGTGAGTGGTATTAAATTATTCGTAAAAAAATCTTTTACCAAATATGCTAATGAGCCACCCTCGTTCCATTTGAAAAAATTGAGATATTATTAAAAATACGATTTGGGTATATTTTAACCCGTCAGTACAAGACACTAAAAATATTGGACTATCAAATATCTTTTTCCAAGGCTCCTTGATTAAAAATTAGTGTTTTTAACACAGCCATGGCACTCTAGATTGTTAAGTAAATAATATAAGTAAATTTTTAAATATCAAAAGTTGATATATTATGATATATCATTCTAATCAGAGTGTAATTTTGCCATGGCACTCTAGATTGAAATTTAAAATACAATTTGTTTTTGAGGGAATATGTCAAAAGTTGACATATGATAAGTCATTCGATTCAGAGTGTCATTTTCTATCGAATAAAGTAAAAAAATACCGAGAGTGCCATTTAAAAATCAAAAGCTGTAGTCATTTCCAGTAAAACAGGAAGTGACGGAAAACAATTGAATACGTCAATCTATCCTAATTTATGTCATATACTAACATACCAAATCTCGTTTTTTTTTTTATCTGAAAAAATATAAAAGTTATAGGGGTGAGCTACTTTTGAGACGCACCCGGTATATCCTAATATATTGTGCATAATAGTCCATCATAGTTTTGTACCTTTGGTGAACGTTTTAATATATTTTCTATAATTAACTGGAATGATATACCATCTAAAGAAGCATCATCCACCATAGGCGTAGGCGAAAAATTTATCAACTATAAAATAAACATTATTTTTAACTAAATAAGTCTAATAAGCGTAAAAGTAATAAATTAAATTTTGTAACTGTCCGAAAAAAAATGTTTGTGAAACAACTAAAATTTCCAAAAATATTTACTCTCTAACACGGCGGTGTGTGAAGACAAATGGTAACAACTCCTGTGTCACGTTAAGTAGGTACTCCAATGACTTAAGACGACGGATTTAGACATATTCACAATGGTGGCGCAGAGGTTACCTTTGGTGCCATCAGGAATACTGTCTCCAGCTACTAGAAACGTGTTAATTAGCACTAACATCTCTCATTTCCATCTTCCACTAGGTGCTGTACGGCTTCACCACGCGGTCGGACGAGGCCACGCCCGGCGTGGTGCCCACGCCCTCCCCCTGGCCCACCCTCAGCCTGGAGCTGGACGCGGCGGCCGCCTGGGGCCGCAAGCTGTACCCCCCCGGTACCACGCCGGCCGGGGCACGGCCGGGCGCCGCTGGGCTCATGTTCGGCCTGCACCACCACCACCAGGACACGGCTGGTACGGGAGGGCTGCACCACCATCAGCCCAGGGGACCCAGTCTCAAAGAGGAACCGCTGACGAGGGGCTGGATGCAGGGAGGTGTGGCCGATCAGAATGGGTGAGTAGTGATTTGAAAGTAGTGTATGTAGATATAAACTAGTAGTAAATTTGCTTCGCCGTTTCTGTATGTTTGGATAATTTACTGCTTCTTGAATTAACAAACCTGTGATATTTTCATAGGAGTAGTTTGGTCGTTTACCAAGATAAGAATATACCTAAGTTAAAACCGCATCAATGAGTCAGACTTGCAATTGGATCTAATATTGTCTAGGGATTTTGCAGTGTAACCATTCTGAAGCAAATCGGTTTTAATATTGCTTAGTTCAGAATTCAGAGATTCTTGGTCACCGCATCTCAAGGAATCTCTGAATTCTAAATTAAGTAATATTAAAACCGATTTGCTTCAAAATGGTTATTCTGCAAAATCATTAGACAATATTATATCCAATTGCAATAAGTCTGACTTATTGGTGCAGCAGCCTGATGCTCTCTCTCTCTCTCTCTCTCTCTCTCTCTCTCTCTCTTGACAATTCCATATGTGAAAGGAACGTCTGAGAAAATCAGGCGAATAGCTAAGCAGTATAAAATTAATACTGTTTTTAAGTCTAGGACTACGCTAAGAAGTTTCTCAACAAAAACAAAACCGGAAACATCAAACCAAGAAAAAGAGTACGAACGAGAGAAGAAGTACCTTGCGAGTCGTATATTAGAGAGCCAAAACGTCATCTACATGTACGACTTGACGAACATAAAAAACAAACGCAAAGAGGCGAAACAATGAAGTCGGGCATTAAAGATCATGTGTGATCTAAGCACCACAACATAAAATGGTCGGAAGCCCGGGTTGTTCACAAAGAACCCCATTGGAAAAAGCGCAAATTTAAATACATTTCTAACAATAAGAATATCTTTAGCAATCTAAGAATGGAAATTTCAACAATATGGCAACCACTCTTAAAGCGGCCAAGTGTTCTTAGTGTAGGACCTGAGTATGGATAACTAGTTTCATCTTTAAAAATATGTTTTATATTCGAGTATAACAGCATGATTAAAATATAGTTTCACTCTAACTTGTAATTTTTAAATGGAATTATTATCTCATAAACTACCAGATGTAGATTATGACATGGGAGAATCTATAAAATAGTCTATCTCTGAGTGACAAAAAATATACAACACTGTAGATACTTAAAAACTACCAATTTAGCATACATATATATTTTAATTTCAATCACACCCCAAAGTTCTAATTTTTTTAGAAATAATAATGAGAAAAATGCAATTATTGCTAACTTTATATACTGCATTTATTTTTGTTATATTGCCTATTATTATTGTGCTATTTTTTATTAAAAAGTGAAAATCAATAATACACATATCTAAAAGTATCACAACAACTTAATAACATAATTGTGAGAGTACTATGTAGTAAATTAGTATTTAAATTTTATTTTAAACATGACATTTACTATGTTCAAGATATATTGACGCGACATTTCACAGCAGACATTGATAGTTCTGCAACTTTGCTTGATGAACAAAAGAAACAATATTCTCTCAAACAATGATGACATTGATTTATAACTTATTACTCTAAGTAAATAACAATATACTTATAACAGCGTTCACTCTCGTCGTTTTTAAATAATTTCTAAATTATTTCTGCCCTAATAACGAACAAATACAGAATAGCCAATTGATATGCCAAAACTTTATATTTGACTCTTAAATTCAATTTTTTAATAAAATATAAAATAAATTGACGAAACTATTCTATTTTCACTCGTCATTGATATGTATGTAAAGTTTCAATTTAACTGGGAGCCAAAGAGGATGAAACCAAAATGACGTCCAAAAAATTTCGACAAATGATGTACTTATTTAAACTGAGGCAAGTTCATTTGCAGATGGCTCAATAACGTCAGAAGCGGGAATAGTACAACTGAAACAGAGGGTTCTCCAAGAATGTCACCATTTTCCAGGCCAAAATAACGACAGACTGTTACTGTGTAGTTGTCAGCTTCCACGGTTCCACAAAGGTCAATTCTGAACTAATTTGAAATATTTTACTAGCTTTAAATATATTGGTTGAGTGTAAGTTACGTAAGGGGGCAAGAGGGGACAATCGGGCCACAGAGGTGACGACAGATGAAATGGGTAAACAAGGCTCACCGATGCCCATTCATAGATCCTGGGTTGCTGAAAAATCAATTTATTAAAAAAATATTTAATTTTCCAAAAGTAAGGTCAGGCCTGATAAGCAAAGGGAGGAAAATTACCAAAATTATAGTAGGTACACTAACAAGTTCAATATGCATCTAAAATGATGGGATTAATGGACGTAGCCATGTGCAGATTGTGCCAATCAGAAGAGGAAATGACAGAAGACATTTATGTCAGTACAAGAGCCTTGCAAATGTGCAGCTCTTTGTAATATACTCGTAGGCAATGATTAACCATTGATATAGAGCAATATGGAGGGTTCAGCCTCCAAGTTACTTGAGAAAAAGGATAGAAACAGACAATGTTATCTAGATAACAGATGAGGACCACAATAGAGCTGAATAGGACTCAGTGGAACAGAGCGATATAAACCTCAAAAAATATAATCTAATATACAGGGTGGGTCTTAAAAATTGGGAATATTTTAGGGGTGGCACTTTTCGACCCAGAAACAATTAGGTATATATTTTTTTCCAACGATGTTATTACGTACGACGTATGATGTCATTACGTACGATATTGTTACCGAAAAAAAATTGGTGATTTTAGAATTTTTCTTGGAAGTTTCTTTAATTTTTATTTAAAAGACATAACATTATGTGAACATTAAGCAGTAGAATAAATTTACAGAAAGAAAAATCCAGTTATTCTCTAAACTTGAGCAAAAAATATTTTTTTCTACGATCCTGCACAAAGTAGCTATTTTACACTATCTACTGTATTAAAAGACAAATTTTTTGCAAATATTTCTGCACTAGATAAAAAACTGAAGCTGACTTTGCACTAACTGAAAACGGAAAAGATATGTAAAGGTGTGTTTCTTTTATCGAGATCTTCCAGCGTTGAAAATATATTTGCACTTATTTAAGGCCCTGATATCTACAGGTGAGGCTAATAAACTCCTATAACTATTGACGAAACAAAAAATTAAGACATTATGTAATAATATCTTTTTATCGAAGTTATTGGATATCTGTCACAAATTACGACATTTCGATCGTATCCTGAATGTCGTTCAATTAACCGGCCAGCCCTCTAACTACGTGCTTGCAGCAAAACGGTCCGATATTGGAGCCCTCTCGAATTAACAAACAACAAAAAAATGACAAACAGCGCCATAATAAATCTCTCTTTTCCACCGACGGGCATTATCGACTTTCGGCCGATAACAAAGCTATTGTCGATAACGTTTACGTCACGCCGTTTGTGCCGTTTGTTTGGCGACAATTAGAGAGCTAATATCGACAATGTACTATGACGTAAAACGAGTAGGTATATTTATGTCTCAGAGTAGTCGATCTGATGGCGTAGTTTTTTTCTGTTTCTATTGCTATGAAGTTCTTTTTATCGTCTATTTGATAAAAGCCATTGGAAATATTTGTATTATTTTTCGCCAAGACTATTCATTCACGGAGATGGTACGTTTGATATTTATGGTGATAGAACCGGTAATAATTTTTTTTGGAAAATTTGGAGTTTTTCATAAAGGTCTTGAAGAACTACAAGCACAAATTAATGAGCTAAATAAAGCCAGCAATAGAGTGGGTCTCAAAATGAATTTAGCAACAACTAAAGTAATATACAACGAACTAGTGGAAAATAAAGATATTCTGATAAATAACACAACACTGGAAATAGTAGAGGAATATTATATTTGAGACAACTAATACGCACAGCTCGGGATATCTGTTATCAGAAATCAACAGAAGAATTAAGTTAGCATGGAGTACCTATATGACAGAAACTCCATCATATTCAAATTTAGAATGTCACTCTATCTAAAGAAGAAAACCTTCGACCAATGTGTATTACCAGTCATGACCAATGCATACAAAACCTGGACACTTACAACGGACATCATAAAGAGACTGCAGCGTCACACAACGTTTAATGGAACGAAATATGCTCGGAATAACCAAGAGAAACTGTAAAAGAATAGAGTGGATACGACAAAAGACTCAGGTAATAAATGTCATCCACAGAGTCAAATCCCCCAAATGGCAATGGGCAGGACACCTAGCAAGACGAACGGATAACAGATGGACCACAAAAATTAGAGCATGGTACCCATGAGAAATTGAGAGACCTAGAAGAAAACTGAACCTGAGATGGTATCGGAAATTAGCAGGGATAACTTGGACCCGCATACCAATAAAAATATACCCAATACCCCAGCTACAAAGAGAGTATATAATGGAGGCTACACCATAATTGGAAATGGTTGAATAAGCTGAAAATAGTGATCATTATGTTGCTGTTTAATCTCGCTGATGTTTACATAAAGGCACCTGCTCCATCTCTCTAAAACATTTTTAGCGATACAATGTTGCCGCATTAGTTGAAAAGTGATTAACCTAACCATCTTTATTATTTTTTTTAAATGGAACACCCGGCATATTATTACATATTTTTGATATATCATATCATGTTTCATATCTCATAATTTTTTTTATATACTGACTTATCTCTCAGAGATTTCGAGATAAAAAATAAAACGTGTAAAATTGCCAAAAACATGATTTGAATAATCATTGGTTAAATCATAAATTCATCAAATAGAAAGCTGAAATTTGGTTTATAGGTTAAGGAAACTCGATATATTTGATCTGTTTAAATTAACCATTTGTTATTAAACAGGAAGTTCCAAAAAAATATATTTATTTGCGTTTATCATAAAATCGCTCAAATCATTGTTATTTTAAATTCAAACCTATGTATATTGTAACAAATTTACTTTTCAACGATATATCATTCTTCTTTCACCGTCTTGTTTTTTCGGTAAATTCTTAGCCGTGATCTTGTAATCACCACAGGCTTCCATGAGTGTTTGGTGAT